AGGGGGGGAAAGACGGAGGAAGAGAGATTCAAAGGAGGAGAGGTGTGTACACTGCGATGGTGTGAAAAGCTTTAAACATAAAAGCTAAAAAACAACGGAGTGTGAGAGTTTTTCATGGACAGATACAGACAAATGATGAAGTAAAACAGAAAAAAAGGGTGTAAAGGTGAGACGCTGGGTGCTGTGTAACAAGGGAGTAGAAGAGTCCGGAAAAAAGGACGTAAAACCCAACATCAAAATTGAATTGAGGCCCAGTGGAGGAAAAAGAAAGACATATCTAATCTGATAAAGCAGGAGGCGAAAGAAAGAAGAAAGATAGACCAAGAGAAGCATACTGATGGTCGTAAACAGAGTACTGTGAGACACAAGGAAGCAGAGACCAGAAAGAGATCAGGGAGGGAGCGAGCAATAAAGGTGGTATAAATGTCAGCTAAACCTGATAACATCATTCTGATCTGTAAAGACCAAATGTACTATATAAATACATAGAGGCTGTGTGTGTGGATGTGCACCTGCATCTATGAAATATCCTGTTTCATGCTGGCTGAAATACTCCAACAGACTATGTTTAATCTAAGAATGAGATCTTCTGTGGACAATGTCTTTCATATGAATGGCTTTGCCTTAAACAATGTGTGTGTGTTTGAGCGATCCAACAATATTAAGCCGGTCGAGCACATAAGTAAACAAGCCTGACAACGGCAAGTAGGTGTTGAATGATAAAACAAGCATGCTTGTGATAAAGGCATGGCATATGAAAGCAGATATGAATGTACACACAGGACATTGTCTAAAGCTACACTGACTCCCAGACAATAAGCTGTTTTCGGATTCAATAAGACTCAGCAAGCTGTTGTGTTATTATAGCTAGAGTTATGGAGGGGTTCAAAAAAAGGATAAAATATGTAATTGCAGCTTTTGAGCACTGTCCCTTTAGGGGTCCAAATTGGTTCATTGGTCCTGCTGTTGTACCCTTGTAGCTTATCCATTTACTACTAGTGAACATAAGCCTACCTTTCGGGGCCTCTCCAAGTACAAATATGTGTCTCGGGGTGCAGTTATTAGCCATCTAGGGTACATAAGTCATGAAAGTACCTCAGGAGGCTGAGTGGCTGCAGTACTTCTGACAGTGTTCTGCATGGTCTCAGACTATTTGACTCTTTGTGGTGCACAGGCTTCATTGACGACATGCGTTGGTGTGACTACAAGACGTGCTGCTAATGCTCATCATCTATGCACCATAAATTGTTTTGTTTGTTTGTTCGGTGCTTTGGAAGACTTAACTTTCTTTTTTCATTTCTTTATCATGTTTTTCTTCAAGAATAAACCCATGCGTCCACTGAGCAAAAATTCCACTAAGTCTTCATTGTGGGGGATTTTCGTACCAATCTTTTTTAAAACTTCATTGGGGTTTGTAAACAGCCATGCATGCAAAGCTCTCTTTAAGTCCTACAACAGCATTTCAATTATGTCGACTTTTGGCTATTGCAACATCCTAAATGTCTTTTGTTTCTATTCCATAGTCAATTACATTTGCTTATGTGACTGGTATCATTAGCCTTCTGCTTCATACATTTTTACACCGCTATTGGATAGATGGACCGACATACAGAGAAGTTCATGGTTGACTCACTCTGCATGGTTACCGATGCACTTGAGCCAAATTATGGAAACAGCCCTTTAACTGAATGCCATACTTGTGCTGGTATACATACAATGGACCTGCATTGGAATATGATTTATACTGTATGTGCCCACATATACTGTCACTTAAGTTATCTGACTAAGTACCCAGTGCAGCAAACATTTGGTCTGAAAATCTACTTAGTACTGAGTTATGCAAGAATTACAAAACATACCTTTAAAAAAACTTTTTTTTTTTGTGAAAAATCTATGGGTAACATTTGTTTATATTGTTAAATGGACCACGCAGGTTCCACCATTTGTCATCTTTTCTACTATTTGCCATAATATTGTAGAGAAAATAATTCCCACCAGCATACAGTATATTAGCATTTGTGGATGGAGAAAAACAACATTTTATTCGTGTATATATACACTTTTCCAAGGCACTGTTGAATTATTGCCCATTTTTTCGATGAGCTCAACTTTGCTCTTAACCTCACATAAGGATTGTTTCATAATGTAGAGAAAAATAACTTCTGGTCTGTCTGATCATCCTACCACCGTGTCACTGTTTTTATAGAGCTATGCAATTTCGGTGACAACAGTGTTATCACCAGTGGATATAATAATGACGACAATACCAAAAGCAATACTCGGGCTGTAAACAAGAATCATCCTGTCGAGCTGTCATCTGCCGTGGGATAAAAATGTGCATGTCTTTTGCACACGAGCTATTACCAAAAGTGATTTGTTAAATCCCAACATCATCTGCCCCAGCCTGAGGGGATTCCCACCAATATTTGGACAGCATCCTCCCCAAACTGCTATCTTCATTTAATCAAAAGGAATTACTCCTCAGGTAGATTAGGAGACCGTTTTTATCTCTCCCTGTTGGCCTTGCATGCTCTCAGTCTCCGATTGGTATTAGCCTGCCTGTCACGTGCAGCATCCACAGTGTGTGTGGGTGGATGACTGATTCCTTACCTGAATGTGACATCAAACTCCATAAGCAGACAGGAGATTTTTTTTAAGTATTGAATGTTAATGCATACATGACAATAAACAGAGATGCACAAGCACCATATGTGCACACGCTGAGTACAATCCTTCTTGCATGAATCTTATTTCACAACAGCTGCATTTTTAAAGGCCAGTCAGATTATCCAGTCCTATCACAGTATGACCATAGTTATTGATATGCAGGAGGGAGGGCCTGAACATTAGAGCAAAACTGGTCTCTATCACAAGCTTTCAGGAACTGTAACGGACATTTCCAGCAGCATCAAAGCTGTGGTGACAGGGAGAAGAAAACAAAATCAGTTTGCTGAGCAAATATGCAGTCAGATAGATGAGAACAGATTCAAGGTTTCAGCTGGTGGGAGTAATAGCTAGTGTGGGGGCACTCATTAGGTCCCGCAAGGCTCCCATAAATAGTCAATGTGCATGGACTGCAACCGGCTTCAGATGAGAACCTCTAGATAAACGACCATGGCAGCATTGTATTAGCAAAACAACAAACCAAAAAGCAGATATAACAAAGCATGAAAGCTTTTCTGATTGATTCTTTCAGCCTAACAAGAGGTCAAGGCAGTGTGTGACTTGTGTGTGTTTACAGGTCTTTGTGGGCTCTCTGCGCATCAACGGAATGACAGTTTTATTATTGGCTGAATGTTTACTTAACATTCAATGTGTATCTACTTGCTGCCAAGACGTGCAGACTGCTTTGTCGATCCCACTAAGACTCTCATTAATGCCATTAATTGACTGGAGTCGACACACACCTGGGTCCCTGGGTTTATCTCAGGAGCCTGAGGGACAACATAATTTGTACAATGTGGAGGGAGCTCAGATAGACTTTAGATGAGGTGGCATTTAAAGTAAATCTGTCTTGAAGAAAAAGCTAAAAGAAGATTGTTTTTTTAATGGAAATCTATTGCCAAAAAGGTTGTAAAGTCCAACTCATTCCAAATCCCAACTCACGGAAAACAGATACTTGGTCAGGCGCCCTTTGCTCTACTTTTAAACACACAGTTCCCACAAAAAGGATTGTCAAGGCTCTGTCAGATGCACATTTTTAATATACCTTTCAGAAAACAAAATTTGAACATAAGATGTTTCCAACCCTACGAGGCCATATGTATCATATTAGATATGTATGGTTTCTAAAATGTTTTGTATTTGAGACTTTTTGCATGATTTAATGGTAAAAACCTTGCTCAAAACCTTGTTGTACACAATCAGATATACCTAATAACAGTGGGGAAAAGGACACACAACAATAATTTGGACTCATCACACGTCAATAAATGACGAATATAAAAAATGTTTATTCTTTGTCGGTTAAAGGGCCAAATAAAGACTTCAAACTAAAACAACATTTTCTATTTTTTCTTGGATCAGGCTTTAAAGGGTTAATTATTGACAGAGAAAAAAATGTGAAAATATGTGTTAACTTTTTCCACTTATGTCCCCGTGAGGAAAGGAAAGGGTATGTAGTGGAGGGGAGCTCTATTATTTATTTGTGATGGCAGAGGAAGTTGAAATCATATCATCTTAATTTCCAGAATACATTAATCTTAATGTACTGTAGAAAATCTAGAGGAACTCTATAATTTTTATATAAATGACGATAATGATATACATATATATTTCAGAGCTCGGCTTAAAACCCTTTACAAGAAGAATAAAAATCAGGTCAGACACACAGAAAGCAAATGGCTTTTTAAACCAAAACACCTCGTAAGCCTCCATACTTTGAATTCATTCATCAAATTGTTAATTGTTTTTTCAAACTGAACTTTGATACATAATCATCCCAGTCAGTTGCACTGTCCATGGTCCTGAACATTTTGTCCTCCCATAGACTGTTTGCAACCCGGGAAACACATTTAGGTTTTAGTCCTCTGGCTTTTATCATTCAGAAATGAACATATTTAAAGGATATTATATGAGTTGAACAGGTTAAGATGTGTAACGTAAGTACAATTCATGCATAAAATTAAATGGCAAAGAGAACCTGCTTATCACCAAACAGAAGATTAAAACTTTTTCACAAAGGAACTCAACAGGGGTTGCTTCCTGCTCATGAAAGAAGCTGTGGTATTTGTAAATTACCTACCTCTGGTTATCAAGAGATCTGTTTACTACTGACAAGGCTCATTTGTAACGTCCTTTGTAGATTATTTTGGCCTTTATAGAAATGAGCTACGTACTCTTGTGTTTATATCAGTTCATTTCAGTATTGGTAGTTCTCCCTCTGAGCTGCCACTGCACGCTAATTTGGTTTATTAAATCTGGCCCCTTGAAAATAGCTGCACATGCAATTTTATTTATATATACCTTTACATTTAGATATTCTAAAATATTTATTTTACCTGAACCTCCCGTGCGTGGTAGGCTATGATTAGCCCCAGCAGGATGACCGTGGACAGGCTGATTAGACACTTCAGGGCCAAAGAATACATGGAACTCTGCAGAGGGAAAATACTACAGTTAGCATCAAGAGCATAATGTAGAATTACACATTTGAGATAGACTTTGTGATGAGAGCTTGTTTCATTAATGGTAAAAAAGAACACACTTTTTTATGTCTTGACTATCAATTTACAATCACTAGTCTGGTTTCCCTTACCAGATGCAGCACTTGTCTTGTTCTTTGTCAGTCATATACTGTATCTACGTCTATATCATAGGTGCCCTAGCTCATGACATATAATCATAAAGTTACAAGAGCTGATAGAATTGGATGTATAATGTTTTACATAGCAACATCTGTCTGGAGTCAAGCTTTAAATTTGCTTTTGTGGTCTAATAGGGCTTTTAATCGATGCACTGGGGAACTTCCGATCAATAAGGCTCATAGCATTTCAGACTTCTTTAACATTCCTACCTCTCACACTCGCAGTGCTTCAACACATGAGCTATCACACAATGTCTGCACAAACACATTCACAAATCAGTGCACACCTGAACTAGTAGAAGAAGAGAAGTGGAATTGTGCTAGGCAATAAACACCATCCATCCACCCAGCCATCCATCCATCCCAAACCCAGACATCCCTCTCCCCAGCAACACTCCTCAGCTCCTCCTCGGGGATACCAATGTATTTCCAGGCCAAATGGGATATATAATCTCTCCACCTAGTCCTGGGCCTACCCCAGGGTCTTTTCCCTGTTGGATGTGCATGGAAAACCTTCATAGGGAGGCAACCAGGCGACATCGCAACAACATGGCCACACCACTCCAAATGATTCCTTTTGATGGAGCAGGGGCTCTACTCAGAGTTCCCTCCAACTGGCTGGTCTTTCTATCTTTAAGGCTGAGCCCAGCCGCCCTCTAAAGGAAACTCATTTCAGCCGCTTGCACCCAAGATCTCGTTCTTTCGGTCACAACCCAGATCTCGTGACCATAGGTAAGGGTTGGGACAAAGATGGAGCGGTAAATCGAGAGCTTTGCCTTCCGGGTCAGCTCCACCACTTATTGGTGCAATGCCAACTCCTCTGACTCAGCAACCTCACTGTTATTTCGATTGAGGAGATCCTCAAAGTGCTACTTTAACTTCCAGACAATCCTCCACCTCAAGAATCTGAAATTATTATTCTCTTTTAAGTCTCTGATTTTACTTCTGGGTGGTTGACAGGTGTTTTGTTTAGCAGTCATTCGAGTTTATGTTGGATGGTTTGAAGACCATTTCAAACCAGTGAGATGCTTGAACTGAATTTGATGTGACAACAGCACAGCGATGCATCATGCAACCCTACAAAAGGCAACTTGTTCGACTAGCCATATGAAGGTGTATTAACGACTTAAAGTTTATTTTGATTCCAGCCCTCTGAAATATCCTGGCATACCAGTGAGTTGGGGATTTGGCAGAGGTGCCATGTTACTCAGCTTCCCCTCTGTTACACTTTGCTCAGCTCATCCATTTTCGTCATGCATGAAAAAGTTGAGAGACATGCTTGAGGCATTGCCATTCCTAAAGTCATGCCGTCTGTCAATCAGTCTGCCTGCTGGATGGACTTAGACTTTGGCTGATACTAAAATGAGCTTGTGTTATATAAGTTACCAAAAGAAAAATCTGTGTCAGACTCTAACTTTTGAGAAAATTTAAGGAGGTGCTATTTTCATTGCCGCAGTTTGTTGAGGCAGCAGAGCCAGTGAGTCAAAGAAACTAAACAAAGTCATGAAGACTTGATTGCTTTGTAGCTCTAAAAGCTGAGAAGAAGTTTGACTCAAAACATAATGGACAACATTGAGCGTCTTCTGCACAGTTTGCTAATAGAAAGAGGGCGTGACTTCATAGAGTGTTTTTTCCAGCTCTGCTGCAAAAAAGTCCATCAGAGGAGGTCAGGAGATCATTTCTTCCTACTGTAGTAATTTTACAGGTTGATAGAATTAAAGAATACTTTTCAATATAGGTATACATCATCCATCCCATCTAGCTGTAAGTTTAAGATGAATAGAAATGAATGCAAAATATACCTAAATATCAATTTTATGAAGTATCCTCAAATTATCACAAGGCAGTCAAGTCAAATGGAGAATAAACTAACCAATAATAGATTTCCCTTTGAATTCCCATGCAGGTCTGATTCTAACTGAAATACCTAGGTAGGTGGATTTTTTGAAAATATAAATGGGCATAGATATTTATGGCCAGAGGACTTAAATGAAAAAACAAACTTTATATCCTCTCAGATCTACATCTTGTCCTCCCAATCTGTTTGTCTAATGAATAGATACAATTTAGGGTGCACTGTGCCAAATTTTATTTAAGATTCATCCATATCAGATGAAATGCATGTCTATTTTCAATTCCAACTTACCAATAACTATAAACAACCTGGTACCAATCAACTTTACCCTCCTTTACCTGTTGTAATTTGGTCCAATGGAATATATTATACCTTGCCGATTTACATATTTCCAAAGGTTGAGTGTGGCCTTTTGTGCGAAAACGGAGGTTTTTGATATTGTTGTTTAGTAAAAAAAAAATACAGGTGACATCAAAATGTAGTTATCCTCTAAATAAATGTGGTGAATGGAAAGAAATCAAAATTATCAGTAGAGCTATACTCCCTGATTTAATTAAGGCCCTGCATATTCAGACTTTTACTCATATTAGTTTGCAATCAGGTTCTCTCCGAGGAACCCGGCCTGCTCTCGCCGTCCAAAAACATGCATGTTAATTCAACTGGTGACCCAAATCAACCCTCGGAGGGAGTGTTCATGCTTGTCCATCTCATTTGTCCATTTGTGGCCCTGAGTTGACCTGCATTAAAAAAAAAATTAAATTGTGATGCAAGTTTATCATCCTGTGAGTCTGTAATAGATGATGGGGTGCAGTTTTGCTTAAGTCCTGCCTGGAATGATGACTTAAACCACTGGGGATCACATGCGCATGGATTCTTAAACCCATCCAAATGGGGCTTTAGTCTGTGGCTTTTCAAAATTATTATCATGTGAAAAAAAAAATGTATCACAGAATTACAATATTAAGATTTTGATAAGCCGAGGTAATGGGTAAGTGATGATTGTCAGTAATTCAAGTACGGTAATTCAAGATCAAATTAAATCATTCAACAAACCTTTTTCATACAAGGCATCCAATTTGACAATTTCTGTATATATCATTTATAAAGTAAATACAGTAAATGAGGGAAAAAGAGGATCCAACTGAACAGATTAATCTCTTATCATATTTTGAGGCCTTTATTGAAACAGAAGGATGCTGTAGGTTTAACAGTAGCTCACATTATGCCTAGTGCAGTAAAAAGTCCATTTTGGGGCTGCTCTCGACTGCAGATTAATGTGCATTTGGTAAACCTTTGCAATAGGATGAAGCTGTAAGGGTTTAGTGACACAGAAACGCCTTTAGAAATATTCATCATTGGTTTTGGTATTTTGAACGGATTTGTTGGCAGTAAGAGAAAAAAATAGATTCACCGTAGAAGCAATGACTGTATAATCTTCAGATAAAACGTTTGTTTCTCACTATGTGTCCATATCTCTTTGCACACAAACACAGCAAAATCTGTGTTCTGCTCATGCTTTTTTTGCAAATTTTCTATCTGATTTTACACGCTTTCGTGTTGATCAGTTAATTCCATTTCTTTCTTTTCTTTTTTAATTTAAACTCAAACAAAACCCTTGCCTGTAAGTCTCACAAATAACAGTGGTTGGATTCAGAGTATTTAGTTTCAAGAAGTTATACTGGCTACTGACTCATTTGCCCACATCAGTTCAAGGGCCATGTTCTGAAAGGGAGAATGTATAAATACAAACCCACACACACTCACACACGCACGCGCACACAAACTCCAAAATTCATTCATCCAGGTCACATGTTGAGCAAATCAGCCTGATATCGTCCTCAGGAGACTCCTTAAGACCTCTACATTTCACATCTGATATGTCAGTGGTTAAGTAGGACATTTTGTGATGAATGTTTTACATTCATCACAAAATACTCCCTTAATCTCAGTGTGCACTCTGAGTTTAAACACATATTACTCAGCCTTCCCTCCATGACATTATTAAGCAGAATCCACACAGCACTTTGAATTCATGAATATATATTACAAGTCAGCTTTGTGGAAAATAGAGTGTGTTAGTGTGTTACTGTGTTTATTCAGGGTCTCAGTAGATGTGTCTTGGCCTTAATATTATTAATTCAACATCAAACAAACACAGAGGCACGCAGTCTAATGTTAATTCTCGCTGAGTATTCATTTTCCACCATAATTATCCAAATCTGAGAAGACTGTGTACCCTTCAGCCATCTGTACAATCCACTAAAATGCACAAGCATAACTCGACACACTCACAGTTGCTGTTGTTATGAGAGTAGCTCTGGGCCATTGTGCGACGCTGGGAAGATACTATCTAACTCTGGCTCACCCTGACTTCTTCTATCTGCATGCAAACTGGGGCTCAGGGCATCTGTAGCTCAGAAGGAAGGTTTGATTCCTGGTTTCCCCAGACCGCCTGCTGAAGTGTCCTTTAGCAAGACACTGAACCCCACATCGCCTGAGGTTCATCCATCAATGTATGAATGTACATGAAAGAGGAAAAAATACTGACTACCTCTGATTTTGTATCGAATAAGGCAGGCTGTAAGCACGCGTGAATGAAAGGGTGTTGTGTCTTGTGTAAAAGTGCTCTGAGTGGCCAAACTTGACATGGAAAAACCCCATATAAGCGTTGTCCGTTTACAAAGCTCTACCTGTTTTCTGGTCTTTATTTGTTTGCGCAAGCTTGTCTTGTCTCAATCTCTCTCGCCTCTGCTAAAATCTCATCTGTACTCACCAAAGCAAACTCGGAGCAAGGAAGCCCCCACTGTTGTGCTGATGAGAAAAATACAGGTTTCAGGCCCGGCTCTCAGCAGTGTATCTGGTTAAATGCAGTCGCGCTGGTCAGCTGAAATGTGACTTGCCTGGAATTCATGTCATATTTCTCTATTGTCTCATTT